TCCTTTTATGTTTAGATTTATTTAATAAGCAACAAAATTGACCGAATCAGAGGAAAAACGCAGACAGATGTATGGAAAGAAAGGAAATATGTTGGCTTCCGTTGCAATATATACGACTAACGCTACTGCCAATATAGAGATAGAAACCCTATCGATGTTTTTCTCGGAAAGATGTGTACATTTTGATGATCGAAGTATTCGTGTATCATCGAGTGCTGTATCGAACTAGCTGCCTTTGAAAATGCGAGAGATTCGGTCTCCTATCCTCACCGCTTGTTTAGCAATAACAATTTGCCAGTACATTGAAAAGTAAATGTTATCAATTCAGCTTTATCAAGTCCAATAATTCGTAACTAAATTTAATCAGCTGCATATAACGCTGAATACGCGGTGAAGATACGAGGCTCTCGTTTGTTCTGCAACACATTGAAGAAGCTTATCGAAGCTTCCGGTTGGATGGACATAAAATATCCCATTCAACGTCGTCGCCCATCTTTTTCGCGCGAGAGATATACGCGGCAGGACGCCCCTCTTATTAATTAATTTTTCTTTTTTACTTTGATATCGTCTGTACTGAGATCACCTGGCGTTCGCTGACCTAAAGTAATCGAGCTACACTGTGTAACAAAGTGCGCGTTGTAAAGTGACTGTATATACAAATATAAATTATGCGATTATCTTGCTTGCATACTTTTTTCTTTCCTCTCTTTTAATTTTTAAATTTGCTCTTATTTAAAATCACTCGAAATTCCTCGAAATGATAAGAAAATGTAGATCAGAAACAATATTATAATCTATTTATATATCTTACCAGGTAGCAAGTTGACGTTATCTATCATTATTTTGACATCAAAATGATGTCTTTAATATTAAAAAGACAACAAATAACGTTAGCTTGCAACCTGATGTTACATTTCGATAAAAATGTATCTACGGGACATGTGAACTATTGTGAAACTATGCTTACTCAGAGAAAAACATAGTGCGGCATAAACTATACAATATATTTTATATTATGTAGAATTAATGCACATAATTGAATAAATTATATTATAGTTATAATCACTATAAAATAGTTTATTTAACCACATACATTAATTCTACATATAAAATTTAAACAGTCACTTATATAGTTGCCATTACTATGTCGTTTTCTCTTAATGCAATATCTTTGAAAGACATAGAATATATGAGATACCAATTATTTATTTTTTGCGCCAGATATTTACATAATTAACAGTTTCAGTAAAATATTTCTATAAAAATTGTATTAATCGCTAATCGTTCTACATTATGTCACATTAAAATATCTCACATGCGCCACTCGCAAAAATATTTACACCAATCCGCATTCATTCATTCTCAATATACAGAACCGACGAATTGAATACAAATTATTACATATTATACTGGTCATCCGTGTTACTTTCTGTGAAATATAAATGAATAAATAAAGGTCAAACTGGATCCTTTGATTACGACAATCACGAATGTCATTTGATGATAACATTAATAGAAACAGTGATAATTTAACTATCCAGTTCAATGTTTCGGATTTCCTCAAGTCGTTGATTATATTCTTTACGAATTTCTTCGATGGATTTGATTAGAAATATTGGTACGTCATCGTCTCTTCTCTGGAAAAATTAAATGTATATATAATACAGAATAATAAGTAATATTAAATACACAACAATATTAAAAATACAATAAATAAATTAATTATCAATTTTTATCAAATTTAATCTTTGCAAAACCATTCATAACTAAATAATTTTTCTCAATTTAATGAGAAAACATTTAAATGTTTGAAATATTATTAATCCATTTACCTGAAAAAGACATTCGCCTTCGAATTCTAAAAACTTCTGTTTCCTCGCTCTCAGCAACAATCCTACACATTTGTTGCTAATATTTGTGTAAATGTTAAAGATATCGCCAAATGTAATGGCGATTACGTCAGGTTGATCCCGACAGGGTGTGCCTTCGTGGCTAATAATTTCGCAAAGCTCCAGAATTTCTTTCAAAACATGAGCGTTCGCTTTGCGACCGCGTAAATCGGATAAAGAACCTGCTTCTGGTCTAATAATGATAAAAACAATTTAATAATAAAACATTGTTAATTAACTAACTATATAAATTAATATAAAACAGTTATATCGTTATCAATTTATATTTATTTATTATAAATATCATTAAAATATAAAATGATCACAAAACTTTAAATTTCACATACCTGCCATATTCTTCTTTCGAGAATTTCGGCTTTTCGATATCCAAACCAGAACTGAACGGATTTTTGCTCTGCTTGTCTCTATGTTTGTCAGCATATTGGTTGAACATAGCAACCTTGGCTCCCAAAGATTCCTTCAAAGGCAGGAAGGCAAATTAATTATTAATTTATTATTAGTCCATTAAGACAAAATAAATCAAGAAATATTTCATTTCGTACAACACAAATTATTTGTACAAGCAAAGTATCCGTAGAGTTTGAAAATGAAGAGAGACAAATTTTATATTCTGAAAATTCGTAGACTCAAGATGCTTCGATGAAAATTGCACGGATTTGAGTTATTCGGCACCTTATGAGACAGGAATTTCTGGGAGTTTGCCAAACTAAGCCTAAGGATTGACCCTGACCATAAATGACGTCTCAATGGCACCTTGACAGATTTTCACAGTCGCGTGTGTAGTTACATTCACTCGCACATTCTACATTCATTCGTATCGGGAGAAGCAAAATTTGAATTAAAATCCTTTGTATTTTAAGGAAAAATTAAATTTAAATTGACATCTTTTCAAAAAATTGTTCCCAGCTAATAATGAGACATGGATAAGTTCAATTAATAGGTTAACAAATTTATAGGAATTTGTTATAAATATATGCTCTTGTCAAATATTAATATTGTCAATACAATGTTTTATTAAATTTGTTAAAATAATTATACTGAAAAATGATTCAGTAAAAATATATTAAAGTAATGTTATCCATCTCCAATATCATCAATATCTCTCATTTTAATTTTCTATTATTTTTTATTATTTATAAAAAATTATAAATTATATATATTCTTATAATTAACTTTATCTGACAATTTTTCATCAAAGAATTCAAATTATTTCAAGTTATTTCTCAAAAAGCTATTGCTAATTTGTTTCCAAAGAATGATGTAATCGAAAAAGACGTTTCAATGATACTCACATACATCATCGAAGACATTATAGTATCGTGATTAAATTCAAAGTCACAAGAAAGTAATACTCGAAGTAAAATAAAGAAGATGCGTGTTTCACCTAAGTAGTAGAAACTATCTTGAACCGACACCCTATTTTCACTTCCGGTACTCCGATACCAAGTTCACTCGGCACTGCCGACACGAATACGACGATGTCGCGATGCTGCGCGGCTCTTTTTATAAGAAACCGACGGCGTCCCAAGGGCTCCCACCCTGCTGTGGAATATTTCGGCGCAGTCTGAAATATTTGCCATGTTCTGAGCCGATTCCCAGGCTCTTGATTGGTTGCCAGACGGCCTTCTGCATACTCCGGAAATGATAATTCATCAATCGCAAACGTAGATTCATTCATGTTGTATTCTGCTTTCGGGAATCAGATCGCAAACGGAACAGTTTGTTTACCGAATAAACGATTATACGTACGATATAATTCGCGAAAAACGAGTATGTTAACATTTCCCAAAATGTCGCACTATATACCCGCTATAAATTTCACTTACTAATCATTTGTGGGAATCATAATTCCAAAATTTAGTGTTAACAAATACAGAAAAATATTTTTTTAAACATATATACATATATTTCATTTTTATTAGGCATAAAAAATTCTATATAAAATGTATTTTTGTTTACTTAACTTGAATATTCAAACCATTTCTATAAATAAAAAAAATAGTAAGTAATAAAAATAATAATACTAATAAATAGTAGTAGTGATAAAAATATTTAAGATAAGTCTTTAACAGTAAAATATTTATTTCTAATTTCCGAAAAGAGAAATCCTGAGATTGACTTATTTTTTTATCCATTATAATAGTCTGCAAATCTAGAATTATGATATACAGAGACATTTATAAAAGCAACGATGTTGCGAAAGAGCCGTAAATCAATTGGCAATGTAATTATATCGGATCGCGTGCACGTCTCCCGAAATTAGCGGCCTTCATATAACGATCGCATGACCATTCAGGAAACTTGAGTATACATGTCTAGAGGGCGACGAGTACAACGTGTACTCAACGCAGCACAACCCGAATTTAATCTCCTAAATTAACTTTTGACCGACGACAATTTGTCACTGACAGACGAACGATATACGAGCTGGATCGCATAAGCTCGAATGCGCGTAAATCGCGAAGGCACGAAGCAATCCACATCGATAAAACATCTTAAATATCTCGCGTGATCTTAATTTATCTAAGGATCCGTTAGATTTGTACATTCTCCGTCGTGCGTGATATTCACTACTTTATCCTATTACAAAGCTATTTCATTATCATGGCAAATTGCGTTTCTATTTAGCGCTTAGCAATATTCATTGCAACATAGAAGGAACAATTTTGTTGAAGTATTTAAAAATTTAGCTAGATATAGAAAATAAGATCTGAAAATAATTTAATTAGATCATTAAAATAATTATATATGAACGCTCAAATTAATTGCTAAAATATCAACAGTTTTTGCAGCATTATCGTCATACTTGAATCTCCGACATAATTACTTTAAATAATTATTTCGATAATCTAATAAAATTATTTTCAGAACTATATGTGGCTAAATTTTTAGACATTTTAGCAAAACCATTCTTTCAATACATAAAACTCTTCAATTATTTTATTGTCTAGCATCGAGAATAAAAGAGAAAAAGAAAGAATTTTGAAACTGTCACTGATTTATAGTTCGAGAGCTATAATTTAAAAAAAATTAATAATGACATTATTTATAATATTACTTATATTCGGGACTCTCGCGAGAATTTAACTTAGAAATACACAATTTTGTGTAAATATTCATTTCGCGAGAAACGCCACGCAAACATCGCAAATATCACCATGATGACCATCCATAAAAGGAGCTTCAAGAAGATGACGTTTACGACGTTGCATTTTCATTACTTCTGAAACATACTCCGGAATTAGATCCGTTTCCTCTCATCAACAAACGCGCGTACGAGTACGTCAATGATACCCTTGTACTTGTAATACAAGCTCAAGAATGCAAATATATAAACTTGTAATAAAATTTATTTCTTAAGAAATATTTCATTAATTTAAAAACTGCTTTATTAATAATATTTTATATTTTGGCGGAGTTTTTAAGCTAATTTATGAAGATATTACGAGCATTAATTTAAAAAATTTCGAGAAAAGAGGTTTTGATAAAAATTAACTTTAATTAAAGATTTCATGTTCTAATAATCGTCTATTAATCTTACAGTCTTAAGTTATTCTAGAATTATACATCTTTCGTTAAAAAAGACATTTGTTTTTAGATTTTCGCTTTCTCTTTAAATTGTAGCTTTCTTAATTACATTAAACAATCTTTGTTTAAATTGCTTAATACTTGATTCTCTCTCAAGTGCTTATAATTTATGGTGATACACTTGCTTATAACTTCATCAATTTTGAAAACAATATTGAAGAGACATATTATTAACGTCTACAGTTTAAAGCAAGAAACTTTTAAATTTTAAAGTTTGAAATAAGAAAACTTTCTTAATAATTCCTTTCCTTTCGTCTACTTGTGAATCGAGGAAGAACTGGATGGAATGAAAGAACTCGGACTTAGTACGATATCTGTGACTGAAATCTTTAAGACAAACTTAGACCCGGAGTTATAAATATACTATTTAAAATTCCAGAGGCCGTATATATAACGTTCGTCGCGTATGTGCGTGGTGGAGTCTATAAATTATCCTACCGGTGACCCTCCGTGTGGCAACGACCCGTCTGAGAATTCTAGCTTCTTGTCAATCGATGAAAAAAGCTCACATCAAGAATGCAATAAATCATAATCAACAGAAGCAACAAAAATATAGTCTAGGTCAGTCTAGAACAAAATTAGAGGTCTACTACATATGTGCTATCCGTAAGAAATGAGGGGACATTTATCTGAACTTCAATCACAAAAGTTGAAGCTTATAGTAGTGACGTTTAAATAAAAAGATAAAGTATCTTCATAAACACATCAAAAAAATAAATTTTCCTGACATTACTAGGTCTTTCTGTTTGCTGCGAGATTCTAAAATTTATTATATGTAGTTTATTATTTCTTCAGTACAGTTTTATGGAGTTTATGGAATTGTTTTCTCTTAAAAATCATGGAGACATCGAAAAATTGAACACGATATTGTTTATAGGATGTAACGGACATTCAGAGTTTTCTGTATATAAAAGCAATTTTCCTCCCACTGTGATGAGGTTCACGTATTCGTTCATTTTTGGCACATGACACCAGATTTCGAAGTAATTAGGCGAATCTATGTTGACAGACTTACATAACTGAGGCCAAATTAAAGTCATAAAATTACTCGAACGACATACAAAGCTCATTTCCTGCATTACATAGCCTAGTTTAGTACGCAGTAATTAATGAAGCCTTTCACACAATCATATCTGCAGAGTAATATAAGAATATGTTAACTAAAATGTAATTGTTAATTTTAAAAAATTTATATGTTAAAATCAAAGTACGCATATGTATGCTTAGCGTTATAAATATCTTGAAGCATAATTTAGTAACACATAAATTGGAGGATACATATCCAAAATTAATGCAACCTTTATCGATGATTCTAGAGTTTCCTTTAAATTTAAATTAATATAATACTCATATTTATGCATTATGCCAATTTTAAAAGATTTCAAAGCAAAAAAGATAGGCAACGATTTAAATATTCGTTTATCGTTAATTATTATTTCAAAATTTAAAACTCTATATTAATTCATTTAACACTGTATAATTGTTATTTATTTTTGGATTTTACGTTTAATTTATCATCAAGTAACTTTATGTATATCAGATCAGATACAATAAATACAATTTTACAATTAAAAATAATGAATACATTTAAAGTTAATTTAATTTCATGTTTGGAGTATTTCATTGTATACGTTTATACCAAATATATATGATGAAAGATCACGCGTACAACTTTTGCACGTGCGTCAACGTGAATGCACGCGCCATTGACCGATGTCAACGAAACGTGGGCATCAAATAAGACGTTGGTATTCAAATCTTTTCTTCGTCACAATCTAGAAGTGTTGGCACTCGTTTCTGTCTCCTGTATTAGTCACAGTCGCATATTCATACGACTAACGATTCGTCCACCTGTACAACCAGATCCACATTCCCTTCTGCTTCCAATTCATTCTTTAAATTTCGATTTAATTAAAGAATTTTCTCTTCCAAAAAACATAGAGTTCTTAACACGTCATAAAAAAAGGTTCTGATACATAATATTGCAAATACACAATTGATAATATAATATAATAACGACAAAAACAAGAAATAAAATAATTAATACTAAAATAACAAATGTTAAAGTAACAAATATTAAAATAAAAATAAAAATATATTTTAATTTTTTTGTTTTAGTATTTTGTGTTTTAATTCGTGTTTAAAGGAAAATCGATACTAAAAAAATCTCGACAATATTATGGCATTAAATATTTTTAAACTTTCTAATGAGTTATCTATGGAAATACAAAACAATGTAGTAATATTCATTTAATTATTAATATAATAAAGAAATTATTATCTCATAATTATTTCTTTATTATATCAATATTTAAATAAATTATTAATATAATAATTAATTATTAATATCATAAAGAAGGCAGATTCTTCTTAAATTATGAGACAAAAATATATTTTAAGAATCCATGGAGAAGATGTCAATCGTCAAAATCTGTTGTAAAAGAAGATATAGATCGAGTCATCGAATACAAGAAAGATTGTAATTTATTTGCTCGTAGCCTTGGTCGGACGCCAGACGTGACCTCGTTCAATACGATATCTTTCTTTCCTACTTGACAGTTCAAAGTACGAAGTTTGGTATTTGCTGCGGAAATTTCAAAGACACTCCTCAAAATAATTTTAAACAATTTCTCTTCAAATTGTAAAAGGTAATATCTAAACGATTGGCCACCCTCATTGTACTTGACAAAATAAGTATTAACGAAATGCAGAACCTTTTTCATTATATTAAAAATATGGAAGACTATGTATTAATTTATATGTAATAATAAATAAAAATAACTATTATGTATAAACAAATCTTTCCTTACAAGTCAATAGGCAGAGAAAGTAGGTTACCTTAACGTAACGATCGATCTGGATAAAATAGAACATGCCATCAACATATACGGTCGGTTAAAAACGGAATACCAGGAAATATCCTCGACTTATCAAACTACATTAATCGAAAACTTGTTTACATTCCCTAATTGTTAGTAATCCTAACTTAGAATTTGTATTTCACCATATTGGACATCAATTGCCCTGATTCGGACTTTCATCTCGCAATGTTTTTGATTTCTGGCAACCAAAATATCGGTAATATATCAGAGTCTGTTAGAATAACGAATGAGTATATAACAATTCAATCATGCCACGACATATGCGGAAATCGCGGCGAATATCTCTCTTTCTCACTTTTTCAGTTATTTCTGATCAACAGTCGTTATTTTCAGCTACGTTCGTCACAAGTCCGGAACTCTCGTGGCGACTAATCGCCACTTTTGAATCTATTTCACGGACATTAACTTTGACGATCATTTGAAAAATTACCAGCAGTTAAAGAGAAGTGAATGAATTAAATACTTTTCTGAAACCGAACGTATACCTACATCAATTAGTGATCAAAAAATTATGTAAAACTACATTTGCTTTAAACGATTTGCTATAAATCGTACGTGTTCTTTTTTGTCAATATCAAAGTTTTAGATTTTATAAACAAAAAAAAGGAGAAGAAAGAGATTTTGCTAGTATAGAAGATTCAATAGAAAGAAAATGTTGTAAAAGAATTAAAGTGATAAAGACAGGACATGGTCAGACAGTAGTAGTTACTTCTGGTCCTTCAGCTTTATATTTACATATAAAACAATTACTACTTTAATAAAAATTCTTGAAACCATATCTTTGTATAAATAATATTTAATAAGAATATTTATTATATTTATACAAATATTCTTATCAAATGCCATAGATAAAGATATATTTTCAAGAGTCGTTAAAATGCGAAACTCTTTTTATTTTTATAAAAAAGTGTAAAAGTATGAAAACAGGATATTCGAAGAAAAACTATTTAGCATTTATATAGTACATAGTACACACTATATTGAGTAAAAAGCCTTAGTAAACATAGGTCGAAAGCTTAACTATTTCTAAGTATAAACAATTTTGTGTGTGTGTATGTGTTTCATATCATAACTAAAGTATCATAATTAACTCTTATTGTCTCTTCTACTTGTTGCATGCGACATGAAAAGAGAGAAATTGAGATAAGTAGCACATTGATAACTTATTTGGGAGAATTACGGGTCCTATTGAGATCTCTATAATATCCATCCAATCGTAATGACTAGTTGATTTTAACTTACTGACTCGCAGTGAAATTTTTCATTATAAAGTACGTATAAAAATTGAATCAGAACGCAGTTTGTAAATACTAAGGCAAATCTTCACGTCGCATACGGCACGTAGAAGCCAATAAATCAGTAATGATACAGTTAATATACAAAATTGTTTATATCTTAGAAACGGTTAAGTTTTCGATTTATATTCACTAAAGCTTTTTTACTCAATCAGTATAATATATACTGTCTACCTATGATATATAAATGCTAAATGGGTTTTTTCTAACATCCTGTATATGTTAAAGATACTTAACAAGAAAATATTTAATACTTATAAAAAGTAAGGAATATGTATAGGCAGATACGTTAATGGAAACAATAAAAATAATAAAACGAGAAATGCACAAGACACGCGATCAAATTAACAAAAGCTTTATTATAAATTTGAGCTTGGGTTGAGCGATTTCTTTACACGATGTGACCAGTGCCAAGTGTATCAAAACGTCACCGTAGAGAATTTTGCTACTGACCTCTTCTGAATCACTATAATACTCCATCTTCGAAATGCGCAAAACGATCGTTAGGCGCCAATATTTATCGAAACTGTAGTTATATAATTGGATTAGCGGAATCGGAAATTATATTACGCACACCAATTTAATTTTCTCCACAATCTTTGGAGGTTGCACTGACCTCTCTCACGATGAGACTTAATTCGAAATGACTGTTTAGTTCTATTTATAATCGTAGCGAGCACGTGATGCAGCCGACATGTTCCTCGAAAATATGAACTGAAAGTTTTCCACTAAAACGACATTAATAAATATTTATCTATGAGTTTTTATACAAAAAAATAAAATAAATCATTCAATTTGACTATGTCAATTGCAATGGTTTATTTGATTATTTATTGTATATTCTCTGTATTTCAATAATTATAAAGTTTAAACATATTTTCCAACTTCTATAGTAAATATTCCGACCTTTATTCTAAATATAACATATAACTATATTCCAGTATGTCCGCCGATTTCTCCGTTTTTTTAATTACGCGAAATTAACAGAAATATAAGGACCGCTTACCTTACTGTTAATCATAGTAAATCAGTATATATTTCAACTGACAATGATAGTAAGATATGATAAATTATATTATGTTTAATTATATATTGTCAGATTGTTACGTATTAGAAATAAGTTTTACATTAGATATGTTTTTTGATTTTTACGAAGCCCCTAACTTTCAGTATGAGATATTTTGACAGTTCACGAAGAAAGAATTAGATATTAATACATCATATCCGCGCAATGTTGTAAAGTGATATTTAATACAATATAAACGATGATGAAATAAGCTCTAATTTTTTATGAGCTCTACATGCATCTTTGTAAAGTTAATATATTCAGGATAATATATTCAGGATTAAATATTTAAATTAATTTATTACAGTTCATCCATTTTAAGGTAACAGATCTATATTGAGATGTATATTTTTATATTATTTATATGTGTATTTATGCATATATGTCAGATAAATGTTTTCTTTCATAGTCCGTTACCTTAATATAAAACTTTTTTTCTCACTCACCGACCTGATGCACAGCGGATGAAATTATCAGCAATGAAGCTATGATGATTCTATAACAAAAATAAGATTCAAATTAAAGTAAATGTTCATTAATCAATGTTTTAAAAGACAATTCTTACTCAACAAATTTAGTTTTGCGTATCAAATGTTTTATTTGTCTTTCAATTAGATACTTAACTTTTACACATCCTCAGTTAAAAAATTATTAACAAATAGATGCTGATGGTTCAACTTTTACGCTTACAACTTACGGTCTTACTTTTACACAAAAAGTGCGTTATCGTATCGAATTCAAAAGAAATAAATTGGTGTTTGAAATAACACCAATCGACAAATTTTTGTTCACGCATTCAGAAACAGGTCGATTTTTTGTTTACATACATTTAGTTATGAACAACTAAAATTCGAGGATAGTTGACTCAGATAGATAGATTCAAATTGAAGTTACTATATTCAAAATACCATGATCTTACTCTTGACGCGCTCGTTGGAACGATAGAAGTTATGGTAAAAGTATGCTGGACCATGCAATGCAAACAAACTTGTAATTATATATTTTTCTGAAAATGATCTTCACGTAATTATACTCACCCCAAGGTTTTTTCACCGGGGCCTGATTGCCTCTCCTAAGCCTTTCTCCTTCCCTCCTAAGTTGTCCGAATTCATTGGATTCCCTCGATTCGACGTTCTTCATGTCAATATTTTCTAAAGCATTCGAATACACAATCCAATTAAAAAGGAATAGATGATATTTTTATATGCGCAATATGAAAATATGTCAATCACACTCACAATTTTCAGGCTATCCGGTTTGTCAGTTTCGTTGGACTTCCTCGATATGATGACGCTCGCGGCAAATACGAACAATGATCGCGCGGAATTTCATTTGCGCGGCACTTTTCCCAACCAAGAACGCAGTTCACGCCTAATCGCGTTAACAACCAACTGAACCGTGCGAATCGTTCGAAAATCTAATGCTCAAGGCATGCTAGTAATGCTCACACACTCGAGACTGTAAAATTCCTTGAGACACAAATATAATCAGGATACATCACTGCACTCCGTTATTCAATCACACAATTCGCAAACTCCATTAGACTAAAGCTGCGTTCGGAAACCTCACCCAAGTGTCCTAGAGTGCGTTCCGTTTCACGCATGATGTATCATTTTGGGTGCGTTCGAAAAGACACTATTAGCGCTATTTGTGTCATGCTATCTTTATTAGACGTAAAACAGGGATAGAATAACACAGATAGCGCTAATACTTAGGTTTATCGCGCGTCGCATACTTCTCCAATCATAAGTCCTACTCACTCAAACGTGCTCATTAGAGTGAGTAGGAGCTATGATAGGAACATATTGTTGAAACATATTGGAGTGTGCAACGCGAACAAATCTCTTGTCTCCTCGAATTCCTTTTAGTCTTCTCTAATATTCGATGAACAAGGATAAAATAATCATGCGTGATTATATGAGAACGAAACACATTCTGTAATTATATATCATTCATTAGACGTAAAACAGGAGTAAAATGACACACTCGAATAAAGTTTCTGAGCGCAGATTATCTCGAGAGCACAGAGTAATGCACAAAAATTGCTTGATTTAAACCAATATTATAGAGTCCGTTCTTATTTTAGGATTGTTTTAAGTAATAAGTCTTAAGCTGCTAATAAAGCCTTCTGATTAATTCGTGGCATCTTAAGACTGTATTTATAAGACAATCTTAAATATAAGAATCAACTATAAATACAGGTCTTATACGTTCAAAAACTTTACTCGAGTATCCGAATATGTCATTTTATCCTTGTTTTACGTCTAATGAACGATAAAGATAAAATAATACAATCCTGAAATTTCCAAACACAGCCGTGCAAAAGCGAGATGGCTAAATTACTTTCAAATTAACGAACAATAACCAGTTCGACTTGAACTATCCTTCGAAAGATAATCGCCCGTTAAGTAAATCGCGACAAAACGTTAATTTATATGTTTTCCAATCTTCATTCCGTCCTAATCTTTTCACATAAATCGTGCTATATACCGAGAAGTCCACTGCGTAACGATCAGCACTGCAATGTCTCTTGAAAGTGAAGTACGTCGCGAGTCGCGCGAATATCGAGAGTCAATTAGCCAATCACACGAATAATCCGAAGTTAATAGAGAACACTGCATCTTTTCTATATCCGTGATATTGTAATATTCACCGTAGTATAATTTCAAGCATAAATACAGCGCCGGGTTACACAGTTTCTATTGCGAATGATAGCGCGGCGACTGTTTTTGTAAACACCGCGCGACGCGATGTACCTACGACGTAATGTGTGACGTAGGTACGTAAAGCTGGGTTTACATTATTAGTCGCATCGCAGTGTCGCAAGCGTGCGGTCCAATCAAAATCGAGCTAGCTTGACGTTGATTGGACCGCAACGCTTGCGACTAATATAGAACCAGCTTAAATGTGCGCAGCACAAGCGCCGCGTGCTAATCGTTTCGCCGCCAGGAAATCAATGAAATTTCACGTGAAACTTTTCACGTTTCATTTTTCACTCATCGAAATTTTACGTGAAAATTTTCATAGCGATTATGGCCTGTATTCAGAACGCGCACAACAATATTAGCGCGCTATATATACTATACTTTACGTTACACATATTATAGAATTTTAGAGATAAAAGTGCACTTTTATCGATAAAAGCGTGTTCTGAATATAGCCAACATGTATATCTTGGACGTGCTGGATTATGAATATCTAGGCCGATATTCATAATCCATTTCTTATTTCAATATAATAAAGCTGTGGTTAAAGTTTCACTACTTTAAAGCGTTTGATTGACCAATTAGAAGAAAGAAGTTTTACAAATTAACTAATCAAAAACCGCTTTAAAGCACTCATAGAATATATCGCGTTGATCATATCTATAATAATCTATTTCCCGAAATAATAATCTATCGGAGAATAAAACGATTAGATTACATTTATCCTGATTTTAAAATATATTTATTAAAATGACTAACAATAAATTAAGAACTTTCAAAATTTTAAAAATTATATAAATAAAAATACAGTCATTTTTAATTACCATTAAATTTTGTTCTTTAATTTTTTTATAGAATACTATTTTAGGACGCTGTGCCATGGGACAAAATCAAAAATACTGGGCATATAGCGCGTTAATTTAAAATAGGCCTAATCTATAATGTGCTTTTTATTTTTTAGCTGTTTTTTGCCTTTTACTTTTTGCCTTTTTGTGATTATTTTAACGACAATGATCGTCTTTCTTATCACGTATTTCTTGTCTTTTTCGTCAACTTTTATCTCGAGCGACAGAGAAAACGAAGAAGTAGAATATATAAAGAGGCAAAAAGATAAGAGATGAAAAGCGATAAAAAGCAAAAGAGGAAGCAAAGAGCACATTGTAGATTAGACTTTATATATAATATTATAAATTTGATTAAATCACACTATGTACTTATAGATTAAAAGTTACTTTATATAAAGAAAGAGAGAGTATCTAATAAAGTAACATAATATAATTAACTTCGATAATGAAAAAATATACATGTAAATATGAGTATATTTTATTAAATAACAACAATATCATTACTTGATATTCAATTGTTTAAAATATTTATACGCTTTTACATTTAATTTTGCCAATTTCATGTTAAAGCGCTTCTTTTATCCCAACTAGAACAACAAGTCTCGATAACGTCAAAATGACATAAAAATAAATCAGAAATGTTTGAAAAATGACTTTTAATGTCATTTTGACATCATTCTGATATCATAATGACTTGTTGTTCTACTTAGGTAGCATACATTAGTAAAATATGTAAACAACTTCGCTATTACTCGTTAGAAATTTGTGTAAATGACTACATAATTCGACATGACCGTTTTATGGACCGTCTATACTGAGAATATATATAGTATTGTAAAGTAAGCTGTAAACTATAAGAAATTGACCAATCCTAATCGACAATTCTCCTCACATTTGATTGCAATTGGTCGATTTCTTATGACTAAGTTCCAAAACGCAACGGATATAGTAAGCCTGCTGTAAGAAACCAACTAATCATAGTCAATTGTTCTCCTCGTATTCGACTGTAATCAATTACCGATTAATATCTACAACTTAAAGCTTATTATATCTGTTTTAAAACTTAAAATTTACTAAACGCGATGCTACAAATGTTTTTAACCGTTTTTTTTATTAGTTACTTTGTAAAATTCTTTTTTCTAATTAGTCAATCAAGCGCTTCGAAACATTTGTACACTGAGAAAAAATAGTCAATTTTAATAAATATTCAGTTGAATATTGCCAACTAAATATTTATTAAATATGAAGACATATTTATTTGATACAAGAATCATTTGGTTTAACAATCATTCTTTTTAATAAACAAATATTTATTTATGGTAAGTAAATGTTTAGTTGAACTAAATATTTATTAAAATTAACTATTTTTTTCTCAGTATAGTAAAACTTCGACCACGATGTATATCACATCACTCCCATTGCAGACGGCTCTTTAATGCCCTTTATACATATTGAAATTGAGGCGCTGATGGACGAACTTGGCATAAAACGCGAGCATGTCTTCCCCCAAGTGACTCAAGTTTTTCTTTAGCATCGCGAACGAGTGACGATAGTTCGCCACAACGATGTTGTTCTTTTGTCCTCTCGTCGAAGAGGAAAATAGATTCTCGCCGGCCGGTCGGGAAGACCAATCGAGGAGATTCGCAAACACGTAGACCGTCGTAGGCGCAAGCGCCGCAACATTGCACGTTTCAGATGGCATCGTAGTCGTTTGTTCACCCCTTTACCCTCCCGCCAGATCCGGGTAGAGCTTTCTGTCTTTATACCTCTACTACCCGTCTCTTCCTCCCTCTCTCGTTCCACCCTCTTGCTCGCTCCATGCTTCACGAGCTTGCGTGCGCGGCAAGACGGGTGGCAGAGCTCCGCGGTGATTTTCAGAGTGGACGGTCCAACGTCGAATCCTCGGGTAAGTAAATCAACCTGTGTTGCAAGAACGACGGTCATCCCCAGGAATTCGGAAGACCGTCCCAACCTGCGATAGAGGTGGGCGAGGAGTTTCTATCGGTTCTCGTTACGTGAAAGCTCAAGCCGGCTTCGTTCGCCAACCAGTCATCCAGCCAGCTTAGCTGGCCAGCGAGAGTATCGATTCGAGCCGGCGCGCCGCTTACTCTCGGGGCGAATCCGCCCTAGCCTCGTCGCGCGTCCGCGAGCCGGGGGTGTCTGTCGCAGGTAAAAAGGTTCCTCCGTGCGAGTCGCGCGAGTCCGACGGTGCAGCCGACGACGGAAAGCCGGCCATTACATTGGCGACCGGTTACGTTAACGTTCGATTAAGCGCCGTGGGACTTCCTGAGTGTCGATCCATTGATCCCCCGAGGGATTATTGGTGCAGGTCGGGGTGCGTCGTCGCGATCGATTGATCGGGCAACGGTCGATCGGTAAGTGGTACCAAGCTTGCGGTAACCTGGGGTTTTAACCTCGTTGCGCGATATGTCGTAATCGCGACGTTTTAATATACCTCGTATCGAATCCGCCATGTGTTCCTCTTCCAAAATGTATCGAGAGAGAGAAATCGCGCGATCCGGTTGCACGATTGTTTAGACGAGTGAAGAGAGGACGCGAAATTCGGCGATTTTCGGTGGAAATCCCTGATAGTGACATCACGAAGACGACGTTTCGGAGCAAGTAATCGCCAATGAGAAATGGCCGCCTTCGTGGGGCTGTGACTATTATTAGAAGAGGCAGGCCGGTACGCGTTACGATAAGAACGCAAGTTGCAAAGCGAGCGAAGTGAGGATTGGTACAACCAATTGCACGATACTGATTTTCTGATTCAGTTGATACCGAGTAATTCGATCGATCAGTCCGATTTTTATTCAATTACGTGATGTACATTTCCGGTATAAACAGTGGTTTCTAAAATCTAATGCGGGTCTTGATGGAAAACAATCTCT